ATTTTCACATAAAAATTTTAAAAGGAGCTTTAACATATAGAAAGGGAATTTGTTTAAAAATCCTTTTGAGGAATCATATTCTTATTTGTCTTTTTGGTAAATCCAGGTTTTTCATGTATGTATCATAGTATTGAGATATGGTCATTTAATTTTTTGCACGTCACTGGAATATAATATTTAATATTAATGCAGAAAAAACAAAGTGTTTTCCTCTTAAGTTTTTCCTGTGGTAAAATAATTCATTTAAAATTATATATGGTTTTCATCTAATAATGTAACTAAAAACATTGTTTCTCTTATTTTAATAATTTCAATTTGCACAAATGTCTAAAGATATATATTCTTATTTGAAAATTACTTAAGATTATGAATACATTCAAAATGTTATTCTAGTTAAAGCTTTATGCCTTATAAATTTAGGAGTTTAAAATTAAAAATTTGTTTTAAATAAATTGAACATTGGAGATTTTACTTTGAACATTCTGTGATATGAATAAATCCAAATTTTAATTGTAGGCTTAAATAACTGAACTTTTATAAATAGTTATTAGTGAGATAATCTACTTACACATTTGGTAGCATGTCTTAGCGTCTTTGTGTTCTAAAGACTAAAAAAAAATAGTACTGTTTGGGAAAAATTCAGAGAAATTTTGTTATAGTTTCCACATTTAATATTTTTTATTTGGCTATAAGTACTCTAAAAGTCATCAGATTTCCATTGGTTTCATTAGTGACATCTAGAATACCACTTCTTTGACAAACTACTTTTTTCAAACTATTGATTGTGAATAAATGAGTCATTGGTAATGAGTATACTATTAAGTAATAGTGGTAACAAAGTAGGAGAGTAATACATTCAAGATTTTCTAAATGGTTCCTTGCTGCTCTAAATGACTTAATTCTGTCTAATGGCACATAATTTGTTTATAGGGAATAATAATTTCTTTCTTAGGAAGTTATGGAATTTAAGAAAGATTACAAAAATAATAATAAGCCAAATTTGAATTGTCAGGAAATCCTAATTTTATATTATAGTAATAGAAATAGGAGCCAAAATTTCTATGGTTATGTTACTGCTGCTTATGTTCAACTTGTCTATTTTTTATTTAGTAATTGAAATATTTTTTGAATCTCTTATTAATTTCGACTTTAACATAGCTGAATGGCTGTGTTAGAACTACTTCACCAAACTAATATAACTAACTACCAAGGTGTTGAAATGAAGAAATGTGGGGTTTTTTTTTGTTTTTGTTTTTGTTTTTTAAAAGTCATTTAAAGTGAGCTCTGAGAGGGACATGGGTGGGAGTCCAGATGCTTGGAGCTGTCTGCTTCCACACCAGGTTAGTGACATGACATCATTCTCACAAAAAAGTTGTTTTTCTTGCATGGTGTGAGTTGATGGTCTTGGTCCTTTTAATTAAAGATAAGAATCCATGATAAAATTAAGTTTCTTGTTGACCATCATAAGCAGGAGGACTGAGGATTCGTTGGTAAAGAACCACTAACCTGTCCTGTCACCCCCAGGGCGTGAGCAGTGAAAGGATTAAGGCCCACTGTAGGGAAACTTGTACTGGAGCCCGCACTGCCCTTTCCCCTGTTCTTTCAGCTAAACAGAAGATTTCTAGTTCCCATGACTGTCAATCTGGTGCTTTTCACAAGCACTAAATTCTTTTAAGAAAATTAAGATGACTTATTTTTAGAAACTGACTTAGAATACTGAAAGATGATGTTTTGTTGGGACTGTGTTTCATGTTGACAGATCCTGTACATACCATGTTTTTCTGATGCGTATTCATTTGCTTTAAGTTATTTTAAATTTGGAGGTCAATATAAATATTTAAAAATCAAGAACAGGTTTTTGTGTGATTAGGTTTGCTTGTCCAGTTAGTAAGTATAGAGTTTGGCAGTATTGAGCCTTTTATTTCATTAGTAATAGCTACCTGACAGCCTTGTGGACATAAGCTCTTATTTCTTGATGACTGCGGTTATAAGATGCCTTATTTTCATGTTTAAAAGCTTTTGAAGAGCTTTTGTAAATGCTGGAGTGTCATATATTTTTTCAGTATCTGTCAAATTGGTATTGTGTTTAATCTTGAAAATATATTTTGATTTTGTAACTAAAAATAATTGCAGAGTATTAAACTTTCTTACTAGTCAAAGCTTTTTTTCCTATTTAATTTGAGCTTTTGTTGTTACTAACAAATAATTTGTGGCACAGTTTCTTTTCTTTCCTTTTTTTTTTTTTTTTTAAAGTGACTGTTAGAATCTATATACTTGTCACCTTACTGTGCTAGAAATGTTCCACTCAAATCAAGGGTTCCTTTCTGGTTTTGTATGTTCTCACCTGCTCCTCACTGTAAATCATTGAGATGTCAAGTGCAATGATTAATTAAGCTGCACGTGCAAGTGCTTTTTTTTTTTTCACCTGTCAAGCAGGAAAGCAGTCTTATAGCAAGATTAGATGGTGCTAATTCACAGCTTTTACTTCAGACTGCCAAGTGTGTAGAAATATTTTATATTTAGATGCTTATTGAGAATATGACATACCAGAATTTGTCTGGTTTAGAATTCTTAAATATTGTAAGATACAATTATTATTCCAAACACTATCATTAAACTTCTAATTAGAGGCAAAGAATAAATTCAGAAATTCCTACATAAATATTTTGGAATTTAAGGTTCATATTTTGTAATTATCTTTTATTCAAATACTGGTAGTTGATTTCAGTTACTTTAAGTAGTTTTAAGTTTTTAAATTGATTGTGTATATATATGCATGTGTTGTATATATATCATAATGAAATCTATTCTTATAGCACTGGTTTAGATTTCTGATGAGATGATAGTGGCAACTACATTATTTTCTTTGAGTAATATTTGTAGAATGTAGTGTTGAGCTTTTGGGTACTATTTTTATACATTAATATAAAACTACAGACTTGGAAAGCTTGTTCTCCACCCCCCAGTTCTTTCATCGTCCCTCTCCCCCTTAAACCATCAGTAAAAGTAAAACCTCAAATTGTATAGTAATCTTAATCTATTATTAAAAGGTCCTAGAAAGGAAGATTACAAAGTAGATTCAGGTTTTGAATCGGTTTTGCCATTGGTTTAGCAGCGGGTGGGCAGGCAGATGCCTGCTCAGAGTAGAACCTATTGCCATTTTTCACCATTGATAGAGTAGCCTTTCAGAGTCAATGAGCTCTGTCAATGTGAGCTTGTCAAGGCTACAACTTCATAGACCTGAGAGGCGGTTTGAGAGGTCAGCCCTTTTCAGGTTCGCTGTGATGCAAATGAACTTTAATGCTTAAACAACTATTGGAATTTTTATGTCTGCTCCTTGTTCTTTTTTCTTCACAAAGTCATTGACGAGACATTCAGTGCTTTTTAAATTGGAAGTTGCATTGTGCTAAAGACCTAGTACAGATTTACGGAGGGCTGAAAGCAGTTAGATCATGTTCTTTTCATGGTGCGATTAGAATCAAATCGATTTCCCTGCAGCCTTCAGCATTCAGATGGCAATTTTAACAAAGCTTGGGGGCTAGACAAGGGACAAAACGACTGAACTGAATGTTAATTACACTCTGCAGCCTTATTTTCTTTTGATTTGGGGCTGACTGGCAACTAAATTAACAAAAAGTGTGACCATAACTGCTGCCCTATTTTCATTTAAAAGGAGAGCTGCCTCTAAAAGGCTATCTTTACAAAGAAACAAGTGAGGTCTGCTGATCATTGTTAACAAGGGCACTTTTTTTCTTTAAAATTCTTGCCAAAAAGACTGTTCAAAAAAAGTAATGTAATAAATTAGTCATTGGCGTATTATTGCCCAGAGAAGTAGTTGATTTTCTGATTTTTATGACATAGCTTGGAAAATGTAAGACAATAGTGGTGATTCATTGGTGTTATGAATTATATCTGGCACTCATGTAACTGCTGTGTGTTTTTAGCATGTTCAACATGCTAAAAGGTAACTAGCTTACAATAGATACTGTAAATATTAACATTTTATTATGTAACATTAAACTATTCAAAACCAGCTTGATCCTAACAATTTTTCACCTAGTTTATTCTTGCTTGACATGCACATTTTCATATATTTGATTATTAATACTCATAGTTTTGCCACATTAATAGCAGTAGATGCTTTTTTCCTTTCCTCTCAAGAAAGGTGCAGCTGCACCAAGTTGCAGTTGATCCTCGTGGCCACACTGTCATTTTTGCACCTGCAGCTGTGTCAGTCTCATCCTAACACCTGGCATCATGAATTATCCTCTCCTTTATTCATACTCCCAAACATGGAGCATTTCATGCTGCATAGCGTATCTTGCACCAGTCAAGTGAAGTAAATTTCTCAGTTGATTCCTGAAACAGTAGTATTAAGAGTTTGATTTTACTGTCAGATGGTACTTTTATGTTGGTTTAAATAAAGTTTTGGCTCTGTTTGGAAAACCTATCTGTGCAGTAATCAATAAGCTGGCTCTTAAATGTGGCCATTATTTGTAAGTATGATGTGAAAATTTGATTTTTTTTAACTCATTGGTGTTTTTTTTCCTTTTATTAACTTTCAATTATTTTGTTTTGAATTAACCTAAAGGCCATTTGCATTTTGTTAAACTAATATTTAAATTACTTTTGTTTTAAAATATGCATTAAGGAACTATCATTACTATTTAAGTGTTACAAAGATATTTTTGAAGGCAGTAGGGATTTAAATTTGTATCATGTGGTAGATGACATTAGCCTTTTCAGAGTTTGATAGTTATGTGTCAGAGGCTAGTAAAAAAAAGATACATGTACTAAAAAACGAAGCCATATCTTTATTAAAAAAGAGTACTATTTCTGTTCAAGTTACTGTTCAGTGCTTAGAACATTGATAATGATTCAGACTGTCCTACACTCAGTCACTGTCTTATACCTCTCCTCTCTTCACACAAAAAGCAGCTGCAAAACAAAGTTTTTGTAAAACCAGTCAAGAGTAAACTTTTTTCTCATTTGTCTTCCAGACACGAAGATCGATTGAGAAGTTATTAGAATGGGAAAACAATAGGTTATACCACAAGGTGAGTACCACAGGGAGCAGCTTCGTACTGTTGGGGTCTGAATTGCACAGTATGGAAACAGATGCTTTTGTTGAGCTAAAAATATGAAAGGTGGACAAATGGGTTAGTCTGTGTGCTGCAGTAAAATAGAGCTCATTTTTCTTCTCTGACTCTCCTGCTTGTCTAGCTGTGCTTGCACTGGAGGCTGAGCAAAAGGAAATGTGAAACGAATAACATGATGGAATATGTAAGTTAAAGGGCTGTTTTGTGAGTTTCTCTATTAAATGATCATTTATTTTGCTTCTGATCTTATTCTTTCCATGATTATTAATCAGCAAAGGTGTCAGGAGCTTAATCTCCTGAGTGCAAGGATTTTCTACGGTTCACAGATGCATGGTTTCATGTGCAAGACTGATTTATAAAGTTATGAATGACTTGAAAACAAGGCTTCACTGTGTTCTGAAAAATAATAAATTAATTGCCAAGATAAAATAGCCTGAACATGTGTTGATGGAGTGTGAAATTTTAGATGCTGTATGAAGAATAACCACAACTTTGGTTACGCAGCAAGTTAGATATGGCTTTTTTATATAATGCTAATCAAGTTTCCAAGTATGGAAGAAAACCTTTCAGCCAAGCCATTGGAGCTTAAGAAACCTTTAGCCTTTATAGATTTTAACTGCCCATACCTCAGTGGCCTTTAAAGAATCTTTTAAAGTGTTATTAGAATATTGCTTTGTAAAAATTATCTTAAATGTAAGCTGGAGATGAGATATTCATTATCCTGTGTTTATTCATTAAAGGATATCTAATTTGGCATGTATATACAAGGAATTTTAGAACGTATTCAGTGTGGGATTTAATTTACTGACTCCCTGATTTACTTTAACAATTTTTCTCCTTTTGAAAAGTTTAGAATACTATAGAAAATTACGAACTTTTATTTATTCTCCCTTGAACTTGGTTGTTTTATTTTAAATATGGAAAGGTTATTACATTAAAAGGAAAAGATCTAAGGAAGAGTTAATTGTTAAAGATTAAATTCAGAGCCTTTGTGAAGTACCTGGTATAACTTTTGTCTATTCTTTGAAACAATATAGACATCATAGATTGTGTGTATGGATGCATATAAAAGATTGATTAAAACAGTGTTTAAATAGTTGGAAATTATCATAAAATCATTTTTCTCTGTTAGCATTTTCCTGTTCTTTGATTATCATACAGTCAAATCCCATTTTTAGCCTTGAACATAAAAGATATTTTTAAAATGTCTTTTTTTTCTTAGACTAGCTCTGTTTAATGAACTGAATAATGTAGATTTTATCTTTCTCTATTATATCAAACATGTTAATTTATGGTGATGAGAAAGATACTTGATACTTCTTTATAATCATAAAAAAAGCACATTCAAGTAACTTTTTTTGGGGTTAACTTATAAAAATGCTTATTTGTATTCTCATCATAGATAGTAAGAGTTTATACATTTTGGGGAGAGGGATGCATATTTAGGAGATTTAAAGGATTTTGTGAAAAAATATTTGCTACATTTATAAAACATTAATCTTAAAACTGAGGCATTAATTTTCTGTGTGCATTTCTAGATTTACTTTGAAGAAGAAAACATAAAAGTTATTCCCAATGTTGTGATTTCCAGATAAAGCTATATGAATATCATTTATGTCTAAACTGTACTTCTTATATTCATTTTTATGGCATTCTCTTGTTAACTAAAATAATTTAATAACCCTTTAAAACATTCTGAACTATGTACTTCGTTTGTAAAATACTTTCCTTGAATTTTTAGATAATTAAGCATTTCTACTGAACCCATTATATTTTTTACACCATCATAGAAGATATCTAGAAGAGTAGTAAAAACAAAAAATATTTTTGAATTGCTAGGTAAAAGCTGGGCATAGTGGCACATGCCTGTAGTCCCAGCTACTTAGGAGACTAAGATGGTAGGATTGCTTGAGCCTGGAAATTCAAGGACAGTGAGATCCTGTGTTTTAAAAAAAAGATTTTGCGGGGGGGGGGGATGTTTTTCTAGATTTTCTCAAAGTATGTATATTTGTGATTATTGAAAATGAGAACCTAGTTTCAGAAACTCCATAAAAAATAATTTTAATAAGTTAAACTAGCAAATCTAGTAAGAAGAGAGTGCTTTATTTATTTGGTGAATTTGGGCCTTTTAACCACATATACCTCTTTGTCCTCAAATTTTCTCTAACTTATAGAAATTCTGTTTGTTAAAGGAAAATAATTCTCCATGGTTGTAATGTGAATATTGGAGATAATCAGAAAAAATATCAATTTGATGCTAATTTTTCTCTGTTCAGATGTGGTAGAGATGTATGATTTAGAAAAAAAGGAGACAGGTGGCCACTTTCTGTGTGTGGCTTCTGAAGGAAAAAAGTTTGTAGGATATGTTCTTTACAAACTAACTCAACTATAGTTAAAGGTAGTCCTTATGTTACTTGGTGTACACTGCAAAATGTGGTGCCCACACCCGGGGACTGAAATTGTAAAGACCACTTGTTGAGGACAAGTTTAAAACACAGCAGTATTTATTGAGTGCTAACCTTAAGCAGTTTAAACATTTAAACATTGAATTTTAGAGCTGCAGAGAATCTTGTCTTCTAGTGTAATCCCTTTATTTTACAGATGAGGAACCTGAGAAACAGCAAAATCTAGCTCAGATGAAGATGTTAGGTGGGAAAAAGTATTTTAACAGGGAGCTAGGCAAATAGCAGGTCAGGAGGAGTGGCAAATGTGGCACCTGAGGCTTCGTGTGGAATGGGCTAGAATAGGACAGGAACGTATTTGAGCCACATATAGAAGCACCTTCTTTAATGAGGCAGATCAAAAGCTAGGAGAACTAAGGAGTGAGAGTGAAGATCCCTGGCCTAGACAGCTGGCTAACTTGTAGAACTAACCAAACCTGGAGGTCACGTAAAGACGCAGTTCCTGAAAAAGAATGAGGAGTTCACAGACTTGGAAACTGTTCAAATCAAATAATTTTTTAGTAAGCATCTATTCCATACAGAATTGGAGCATGGGAAAGAGTTGATTATAATTTAAGTCAGTCTTTAAGTTTGGACTAAAAATTAACTCTGGTCAATTTGTGTATTTCTGTGTTACTGTTTTGTTTTTGTTGGTTTTCTTTTAGTTTTCTATTAAAAGGTCTTTTGGAACAAATTTTAACTTTTAATTTTGCTAAGCTAAGAAGAAAAGACTTAAAAAAAATTAAGAGATAAAGGACCAGTCTTTATCTAGAGATTACATATCCTGGTACCGTAAACTGAAAGCAACCCTAGAACTTAGAGAAGACCCATGAATTGTGTTTATAAAAGGGAGGAAGCCTGAAGAAAAAAATATTGTATCAGCTACAGTCACACAGTGCAATTAGAAAGGGCAAGGCTTTGGAGTTAAGACAATCTTTTTGTTGTTGTTGAAGATATATAAAGGTAAAAACTGTTTATTTTATCCTCTTGAAGGACAGAGAAAATGAGAGAGACAAAGAAGACAGAGCAGAGAGATGGCGTGGCTTCTCAAAGAAAGCGAAGGGAGGGCCAGCCTAGTTAAGAGAGTCTTCTGCTCAAATACTGACCTGACAGTGGTGATACCATTTCTTAGAACATCAGTTTTCTCACCTGTAAAATGGGGAGGATAATACTCGCGGAATAGAAACGTCCTTGGGGTTAAATAGCCCCACATAGCGTGGAGCGCTGGCGTGCAGCTAGCCCTCAGTCAATGCCAGCCTGTGTTCTAGCACGCGTGCGCACGCTCCCCCGCTAGTGCGTCGGGCGCCGTCTGCACCTCCGTCTGCACTTGCCTCCTCAGACTTCGGCTATTTTACTTACTTACTTATCTTCCTTTTCATAGAGCCGAGGTAATTTGTGTATTTGGTAAAGATCCAGAAATAAAGAGAAAAATTCCCAGTGACGGAGCTCTGGGTTATCAGATAAATGTCTGTTCTAATAATGCAAAGTTGCAATTTTAAAATGTCAAATGGATTTTCAAAAAATTTTAAAGTGATAGAATATAACTGAAGTTTTAAGATAAAAATCTGTTTAAATCTTTTTAAAACCTTTTTCTTCTCCTTTTGCAGGTCATCCTCATAGAATTTTTACCAAAGACACCAATTTTTCGACCAGATTAGCATTTGCTTTATTTATAGAGACTTTCCAAGTATGTTGTCTTTCCAATGGTGCCTTGCTTGGTGCTCTCCTGGTGGTGACATAACATTGGTTCTACAGAATCGTGTGGTGTTTTTTTCTTTTTGTTTTTGTTTTTTGTTTTTTTTTTAAATAACCGCATGTTCTAAGTATGCATTTTTGTCAAACTTTGCAACAGTTATTTCATACAGATGTTTAATACTTAAGTTATTGTGCTCTTTTCTGTTATGTATTCTGATTTTCAAAGATTACTTTTTTGTATTATCAAAAAAATACATTTGAACTTAGCATAAAAAGTGGCCAGCCTTTTTTATTTTATCACCAAGGTACACACAATCCTTTACTTATAAATTCCTTAACATAGAAAAACACCTTTGTAAGGCTCTAATCTATTCTAGCAAATTGTACTGTTTATATTATTTTTTCTTCCTTTTAAAATTTAATATAGTCATTATTTTAAAATAGTAAGTTTTCTTTATAGCCTTTTGGAACCTAACATAACCTTTGTCATACAACTCCTTATGCTGTTTACAGCAGATATATCTGTAACATTATGAAGACCTATCAAAAAAATTTTTTAAGTATTTCTGTCTTCAAAGGTAGTAAGACAGGATTAAATTATTTTTATTAGAATAGACAAGTCAATGAATGATATGCATGCATCTAATGGTTACTAGAGCTCAGGATCACAAAATATAGTAACATCACAATCTCTGTATATTTTTGATCAAGATGTTATTAATAATGGCCTTACTTGGGTTATTTTTATTGTTTATCAAATCTTACATATAAAAGAATGGAAGTATTCCTCTTAAAAAATTTCTAAGGAAAATATTTCTCCCAGTCTCATACAATTATAGAATGGATATATGTTTCTGAAAAGTTTTTGAAAGAAAGCAAGAGTTCTAGAATTAAAAGAAGCTGGTGTTTAATACCCCATGATATTTAGAACACATTGTTACTAAGAAATGGAGGATATATTTAGTACTATTTTTATCCACTAGTTTACTTTCAGTCCTTTTTTTTGAGAAGGTGACATATAAGTTTAAATCAGATTAGCTTATTTCTTTTAAATATACACATAAACACATACCTATGTTTTTCCTGCTTTTGGTTGTACATATCTCCATGCATTTTAAAACTTTAGATTTGTGAATGACCTATGTGTAAATTTTTGTTTTTATAAGCCTGAAATTATACAAGTTTTAATGTGTTTTAAGAACTTGTTCCATACAACTGTGGTATCGAGCAATAATGTGAATAACTTTTGAAATTATATAAACTATGCTTAATAATTTGTATTAAGAATTGGTACCACTATACAATACTTTTTTTCCTTGTATTAAATCTTTTAAATACCAGTTTCATTAATTTATATACCTGTATTTTTTTAAAGTATTTCTTTGTACTTCAAAGTACTGTAATCCTATATAAATTTGAATAGTTAAATGCCATTATCTCATGTCCTATATCCTATATTGGATATTAGGAACTATCTTAAAAACTAGGATTTAAAAAAAATTTTTTTTTGTTTGACAGTTGTTTCTGTTGCCCCCCAAATAACAACTTGAATTTATAGAACACCTTTCTTGTGAAGAGCTCAAAGTACGAAGATTTCAAATACTTCTCACTTTATTTAACTTGTGTCTAGGGTGTGTCCTATCACCTTGAAGTAGTGCAATTAATTAAAAATAATGCTATCCAAGAACTCAAGTATTCCTCTGTGGCTTCAGAATGAAAAATACTATATTCCCATAAAATTCTAAATCTGCCTCACGATTCAGAAAGAGCAGAAAAATACAATGACTGTGTAGACTATGCAGCACAGTGTTCCCTGTGTAAAAAGTGTGTAAATCATTCATAGAGCACCATATTGATCAGCTTTATGAGAAGAACTTGCCTATTTAGATATCATTTTTATCCTATTACTAGGCTTCTGTCAATTATTTTTAAATTATTGTATTTCTGCGAGAATATTTTAACAGTAAGATAATTTTCACAACTGATAATATTAAGCATAGAATTTTAAAAAGGTTTTCTGACTTTATTAAGAGATGTGCCATTTGCCTAAAGATTCCCTATAAATGTGCATTTCTAGTATATATATATAGAAAAGAACCTTGAATGCTTAATACGTGGCATTACCATAAGCCAGTTATGCCTTGAGCAGTTAGATTTTCATGCTCGGTAGCCTACAGTATAATTCTCCAGCTGATCCTTTCTTAAATCATGAATTTAAGTGCCCATGTTACAGGAAATCAGAAATGTTGGAGATGCCTATGTTATGTTAACATCAGTCCAAGGAAATATTTAAAGTGACGATTGTTGTTAAGCTTCTGTTTTCTGACTTAAAGTTTGTAGGACATGAACTATAGTGCTTTTTAAACTGACCAAGGAAAAATATTATTGGCAGAAAATCTAATGTGTAGATTTTGCACAGGCTAAGTGAATAACTTAACAATCTTTTTTATATGTTACTGGCATTTTACAATCAGTCACCATTTTTGTGCAGAAACATTCTTTTCTCAAATAATGTACTTGGCAAACCTTATTATATTTTAATACATAACTTTGGTTATCTGGGTTAAATTGATACTCCAAAACCTAATGACTGTAGTAAAACTGATGTGACACATTTAGCTTCTAAGGTAGACAGTGCCTCTCCCTCACAAGGGAGTCAACTTACTTATCTAAAATGATCATCAGATGTCTTATTAAGACTCTTCAATGACTAGGTTTCATTTATTTAGAATATAAACATGTAATTTTGGCCTAAAATCAACAAAATAAATGCAACAAATCCTTGAATGATTTCCTCTTCTTAGAAAAACTAGTGTTATATATTGAATAATTTTAAATCAGGAAGAATCACAACCTTCCCCATGGTTGTGTCTTCAGTGTTATTTATAGAGAGCTTCTGATTGTTTCTTTATATTAGTAGACACAGGCCAGCCATATAAAACTTTGACAACATTCCATCTCACTCTTTGGTTGTAAAAGAATGATATTAAATAGTAATATGTGCAGTTGGATCCACAGTTGCATAAGTTCAAACGACATAGTTTTATATAACATTGTGTACATAGTAATACTGTTTCAACTTTTATGGTATTTAACTTCACAGTTATAACCTTTAGCTGCATGCCTGATGTTTCACTGTAAATATTTGCTTTGACTTGCTGTTTCAATACTTACTAAATCAAATGTGCCGTGTGTTTAAAATAGTCTTTGATGGAACTCCAGCATCTAGTCCTGGACTCTCTTTCCTTCCGTTTTTCTGGGCACAGTGTGTCCTTTTGCTGTTGTCTTGATGTCCAGAGTCTTCACCCAAGCCTGGACATAGTTCAGAGTTGCCTTGTCATCTTTCTCCAAGCTCCCAGTAAGAACGTTAATTCTTTTGCATTCTTAGCTAGGTGTTTAGAAGACCAATTAAAGCGAAGTCACATTAAGTAGTGATGAATGGCTGACGTCCTCAATTCTGCAAAGGTGGTATTCACATCTTAAAAAGGGAGTTTTTTAATTGGTGCAGTGATGCAATTGATGTTTTTCTTCTCAACAAACCCTATTGGCCCAGATTTTCTAGAGAGGGAGGAAGGAAAAGGATAATTGGGCATAGGGCTGCTTCTCAAACCAGTTTTCGAAGGAAGCTGATTTGTAATTAGTTTTGGGGAGGAAAGAATAGGCCAATCCTAAACCAAATTATTATCCCACGGTAGTTTGTGTTTAAATATTTGCTTTTTTAAATGGAATAAAGAAGCTCTTAATTTTTCCTTGATATTATAACCAACTTTATGTTGTTTTTAGGAACATATCTTTTATGTAATTTGAGATTTGAAGAATATCTTTAAATCTTGAGTTATCTTGTTCTGCGCTTTTACAAAGATCTTTAGATGGTAATTAAGAGAAGCCTAAATATAGTTTATATTATTAGTCATAATTCTGTTTACTTGTTTCTAGGGATCAATATTCTTCCCACTTCCAATGCAAATTGAACCAACACAGGTTGTTTATAACCCTGGATAGATAACACCCAAAACAGAAATTCTGGATGGCGATCCTGATTTTGACATTTCTGATCTTTTATTAAGGTTATTAAACGTGAAATGTCCGATTTCCTTAAGTACTAAGTTTGACAGTTGGTATCTTTGACATTTCTTGTTTTTTATTGTGAAGGTGCATCCTCAGTCTTTCAAATGCATGTTTTGGCTTGTGATTATCTTTCAGAATTTTTTTAGAGTAATTTTTGTGAAACCATGGATAAGTCAAAAATTCGTGTTCTTTTCAATATGAGTTCTGTCGTGGAACCAGTACAGTGCAGACAGCTTGAAATATCAACAAAGTGTTTGGGAAGGATGGGGCTAATGAACGTCTATGGTTTGAGAAGTGTCGTTCTGGTGATTTTCATCTTGCAAATGCGCCACATGGCAACCTGAGACCAAGGTGGATAATGATGAACTGAAAGCTGTAGTGGAAGCGAATCCATCTCAACCACACGTGAATGGCAGCCAGGCTTGACGTTACTCTCTGAACAATATTGGACCATTTGAACAAATGGGCAAGGTAAAGAAGCTCGATAAATGGGTACCGGGTGAATTAAGCATCACAAGAGAAATCCTCTAAAGCTTGCCATTCTTTGCTGTCACAACATAAAGGTGAACCATTTCTACACTGCATTGTTACATGTGATGAAAAATGTATTCTTTTTCACAGTTGCAAGTGTTCGACACAATGGTTGGATCAAGATGAAGTGCCGAATGCGGTCCAAAACTGAATATTGATCAAAAAAAAAAAAAAAGTAAATCTGCAAGGCAGAACTTAATGTCATCAAAAAAAAAAAAAAAGCTAATGGTGTCTGGTGGTCCAGCACTGGTGTTGTCCACCACAGCTTCATAAAACCTGGCCAGTGAAATCACAGTGGATGTCTACCGCAACCAACTGGATGAAGTGATGAGCATATTTGCAGTTAAGCAGCCAAGATTGGTCAGTAGAGACAGGCCAATCCTCTTGCAAGACAGTGCTCAACCACATGTCACACAGCGCTGCTCAGACTACAGCAGCTGGACTCGGAAACTGTGTCATTGACCGTATTCACCAGACTTTACACCAACTGACTACTACTTCTTGCGGACTTTGGACCACTTCTTGCACTGAAAAATACTCAGTTCTCAACAAGCTGTGGAAAATGCCTTTCGAAGTTTCATTGCCACTTGCTCTTCAGGCTTCTTCAGTGCTAGCATAAACAAGCTACCTACCGTTAGGATGGCAGAACTGTGTCTATAGTTTAGGCTCATACTTTGATTAATTGTACTGCTTCCTGTTTGAGATATAATAAACTACACTTTTGATTTGAAATCGGACATTTCATATTTAATGATCTAATACATGATCATCAAGTTACTTGGACTCTTTTATTTCCAAAACAAGAAGATACTATGACTACCTCATGATATTGTGAAACAATACTTTTTCAATCATTTCTTTTCCTGTTATTAAGCCCTATAGAAATGTAAGAAGCTAGATATTTAATAGCAATGATTGAATGGCTTTTTTGACTTACAGTATCAGCACAAACTTAAGTTATTGTTGTTTTACATTTAAAACTAAAGAGATTGAGTGTTCCCTATATGTACTTATGACAGCGCTCTGTTTAGAAAGCAAGGGAAAACATATAGTTACATCTGAAGATACTTGAGCAAACTCATGCCTTATTTTGTTTTTCTTTTACATACCCTCTACTTCATAAACATGGTGCTCTGATTTGAGAGTTAACTGCTTTTTTTCTCTTCATGTAAAATAGTATATTGCTTCTTTAGCTCTTTTTTTTTTTTTTTGAGACAGAGTCTCGCTTTGTTGCCGGGGCTAGAGTGAGTGCCGTGGTGTCAGCCTAGCTCACAGCAACCTCCAACTCCTGGGCTCGAGCAATCCTCTTGCCTCAGCCTCCCGAGTAGCTGGGACTACAGGCATGCGCCACCATGCCCGGCTAATTTTATATATATATATTAGTTGGCCAATTAATTTCTTTCTATTTATAGTAGAGACGGGGGTCTCGCTCTTGCTCAGGCTGGTTTCGAACTCCTGACCTCGAGCAATCCGCCCGCCTCGGCCTCCCAGAGTGCTAGGATTACAGGCGTGAGCCACCGCGCCCGGCCTGCTTCTCTAGCTCTTTATCTCAAAAATATTTCAATGAAGTGACCATACCAGACATTCTTAATTTGGGCACATAAGCTATCTCTTGCTTTGTTGTTGTTTTTTATTTAAAGAAACAGTGTCAGCCAGCCTTTGGGATAAGAAAAGTGATGAGTCAGCGTTTTGTCGACTGCCCTTTATTGAGACATACTGCACCCTCAGAGTGTGGGGTTTCTATCTGTTATATTTCCTACTGGTTCTTAATTTAGAACTAGTTTCAATTCTTTCTATTGGCATAAATGCTATATAGACTTAAAATGTTCTAGAGGGGAAGAATCTTTTATTCTCTTAAGGATCATTCTGCACTAATTAAAGACCTCTTTTCTAGTAGCAGCTTATTTAATTAGGTATTACAGCAATCTCATTATATTGCCATGAAGTCTTTGTAAACAGGAGTTTGTTTTAACTCAAATATCAAAGCCCTTTTAAATTCTCGATTTTTATATTTGTTGAAGCTGTTAGCATTATGCCCTCTCAGAAGAGTTAAGTATTGTGAAGTTAGTAGTGGCAGTAGAACCAAGGTAGACATGATTGGAAGGCTGGTTGCTGAAATCTACTGGCTAAGAGAAATAACTGTATTTTCATCCTACACTTTGGTTCACATGGGTGAAAGTTATACAATGGTCAGGAATTGTACGCAGCTTTACGCTTGCTCTTATACATTATGTATTAGATGGGGGGCGGTATTTAAAAAACAACATTATTCTAGATAGGAGTTTTCTATCATGTCCTTTGAGAAGATAGATAGCTCCAGGGGAGGCTAGCTTTCAAAAATATATTTCTGCTTATCTTTTATAATTTAACAACAGCATTTTATTAAACTCACTAAATAAAGGATTCTAGGAATTTGTTGGTATATCTTTAAATGAGCATGGAATAGTTTTCAAGTAAAATAGAACTTTCTGATGAGTGAGTGTGTAGAACAAAGAGCAGGATCCCTAAAACTATGCTTTCAGGTAGTCACAGTACCATTCAGATAAGTCTAGTAACATTAAAAAACTGAAGATAAGTTTGGTGAGATAAAGTTAAATTTTAAAGGTGCATAATATGTTTTTGTTTTCATTATTAAGAAATTAAGGCCATTGACAAACAAACATGGTCTGTTTTTCCTAAGAGAATTTTTGGTTAGATAAAAATTTGTTGGCCTTCATAATTGTGAAGAAATATGCAGATGGATTCTGTTTAAAGTAGCTTGGCTTTTGGTCCCATGCTGGTCGCAGTATATTTAGTCTTGTAAAATTAAGTTGTTATTGGCTTTGCTTTTCTAGTGAACAAGTGGAGACCTAATTTGAGTTAGGGTTTTTGTTTTGTTTCTTTTGTTTTGACGTGACTTTTGCTTGCTTTGGTTAGTTGAGTTTTGTTGCTTTTAAGTGAGTTTATTGCAGCATATGATTTTAATGTATAATCCATGCTCAAAACTAAAATATGACTGATAGCATTTGATCTTTAAAGAATATATAAAATAAAATTTTAGGCCAGTATAGATGGAATGCTAAAGGGAGTCTAGAACTTAGAGATTAAATCACTTTTAAGGAAATTAATCAAACTAATAATGTCTTTTGATAAGACCATATGAATGAACAAGTATACACACACACACACACACACACACACACTTCTTC